AAAAAAAAAAACTATGCCTGGGGATAGATTAGCTGGTTTATTTACCTTATTTAGGTAATTCATTTGTGTGAGGACACAAACAACGACAACAAAAGCAAAGGCCCATGACTGGGGATAGATTAGCTGGTTCATTCCAGACAAGGTGAGTTTCAATGCAATTCCTAGAGCTTTGACACTCATAACCTGCCAAAAAACCCTTATTTCTCATAATTATGTTGCATGTTTGTTCGAAAGGGGCAGCAAAATCTACACAAATCAAATTAGGACAACCTACCGACAACGAACCAACTAGCGAACAAACAGCAATGTAGAACAATATATGCGTCTGGCCATATTGTGGGATATAATGAAATATTACAATGAGGACGATTGATATGACCAAGGCTGTGTAGAAAAGAAAAGCTGCATGGGAAAAAACAGAAGGTGGGTTTTCTTTACTCTCAGCGCAAATGATAATGGACAATAGGCATTAGGAATTTCAAAGAAATTTACCTGGCTCGGTGGCAAGGTCCCACACTTCCTTGACAGATTGGATGTCACGTTCGTGAGGGGCATGCAGCACAATGGCAGTGGACCCCACGACACACAAGGCACAGCCGAGAATACCAAAGATGTGTAGTTTCTCTTGCAAAATGATGTGTGCCAGTATTGCACTGCAAATTACTCTCATCAATCAGAATAGTAGTAGCTGTATTATTTTTACAATTATTATTTATTATTATTATTATGAGGAAAAGCTGTTGGGAGCAAACATGGCATCATGCCTGATAATAATGCTGAGGGCACCGAGAGGGGTAACAACAATGGCTGGAGCAAATGCATACGCTGCGAAATTCGCTATTTCTCCTACAATCACTGTCACGTGGACCAAATAAAAAATCAATAAATGAAGAATTTGCAATGATACTTCGAATAGTGTTGCTATTCAGAAATCATACTATACATCTTTACATTTTCAGTCAGCCTTTACTATTTCCTCTAAAAAAAATATGATAGAAGCAGCAGTTCGTGTAGCAAAATCAAGAAACACAGACGGCAGTGACGCTCTAGAAGGCAAAAATCGTGTCGTTTTTTGGGGTTTTGCGCTCTAACTCTCTTAGGTATTTCCTAATACACAATCTGCAATTATTATACACACCATGTTGGTCAAACCAAAGACGTAAATTACTGATTGTCCATGCTTCAAACCACGTCTTATCCATAGATATTGAGAATGTGCCAATCGAGTAAGAAAAAACTACTCCACAGAACAAATCAGAGGGAAGATTTTGAATTTTAGCTTCTAACAGCTAACAAGAAGCAATCAAGCTTTTGCTGGAGAGAAGTAGATTAGCTTCTTTTCTCGGCATACAATGTACTATGGAGGTGATGGAAAGATGTACTTATCATAACATTAGTTCTATTTAATATGGAGATGGAAATACAGATATATAACTTACTTGTTATCATGCCTATCCACCATAGTGGCTCATATAGATATGAATATCCTCCAACTCCTGTAGGAAAATAAAATCGTTAATAAATAACAATAACTAGTGTCCTGATTTTAATAGAAAACCTGACTTATTTTGCACCCAAAAAAAAAAGGGGGGGACTAAGAGACCAATCGGGTGAATATGACATATAATACATACGAGATATGCAAGGAATGGCAAAATAAATAAAAGTTTACTATTGCAGCATAGTGAATGCCTTCAACATTTAACTGCAAAATGAAACTACTCAAGTTAATCCATAGAGTGTAGAGCTGCTTGTGCGAAACTTATAATGCTTAGGCAGTTTTTTGCCAGGAAAATTGTAAACGTGCCTCCAAGAATCTTTGATTCAGATTTTACTCGAATGGCCAATTAACATTTAACTTTAGAACAACATGTTAAGTAATAAGAACATAAATTTATTATGTAACATGATCAGGAGTTTTAAATTTTCTATATCAACAGACAAAAAGCCATAAATAAAAGATCTAAAGCATAAATTGCCATAAAATTTAACTGCACTCAAACTAATCTTTTTTCTTTTCGAGTTGCTGGCATTGCTCAAACTAACTCCATGACCATATGACTGATAACAAGATTAAATCCAGATTACCGCCATGTACTTTATCAATGTTCAAAAATATACTCGTCCTAACTAACATCTGAAACAGAAGTAATCTGATCCTCACATCAGATTACAACAGGACAATTGTAGCCGAATCGACCAACATGTTCATTATCCAGTTTTTGATCCTCACACCAGATTACAACAGGGGAATTATAAGTCTAAGGACCAACATTTTCACGATCCAGCTTTCGACCCTCACGGCTAACCAAATTTGCTAAACCAATGTCAAAGTAGACACTGTACAAAATTAAGAAAATAGCAGGTACTAAATTTGCACAGTAATCCCGCAAGCACAAGATATGGAGTGCCCACATAAATCACAGCGTATCTTCAGACACCAAGTTAAGAAAAAATGCAGGTACTAAACTAATGAGCTACAAGTTGAAGATTTTACCAGCCCTGACGCCATAAGCACCAGCTTTCTTCAATCCCTTTTTCTTGACGATGAAGCTTGCGCCGATGAAGACGCTGGATGATAAGGCCAAACCCAAACCCTTTATATTATCGGACGACATCCCCTTGTAAGCATCCGACGTCGTAGCAGCCAATTCACCCACTCCTGTCGCCGCCATTTTCACAGCTGATCGAACAATCACACTCCCATTTTGGAGCTCCAGGCTGTGGCCAAGGATCTTGAAAAAGGAAAAAGATAGTCTATGAAGATCTGTAATGGGGTTTTTGTGGATTTCAGCAGAAAAGATCTGTAATTTGTCGGCGGTGAAAGGATTTATGGGCCTAAAAATGAAGAGAGTGATATATGACAGTAGTGAAGAAAATGGATCTTACTCCGTCTCCGGTCTCCAAGTGGGTCGAACGAAGTATAACACGCTACCAGCTACCTCCATAGCTTTATCTGAGTCACTTTTTTTCCCTTCGGTTTTTTCTCAGCCTCTCAGTAGAACTAGTTCGGATGTTTACGTGAACAAAAAATAAATAATTAAAACAGAAATAATAAGAATATTATACTACCTCCTACTTTTAATATACTAGTATCGTACCTCGTGCGATGCACGGGACAAAAATATTAAATGAGTTATTTTCACAGCCTTGTCCGTTTAAGTCTAAAAAGTAATAATGTTATTATCTATTTTTTACCTCTTTTAATCAACGTTAAGTTTAAAAAATTATTAAGTCGCCCTCTGGCAAATATGTATGGAGTTATGTGTTCATGTCTCATAAGTCACAAACATTATGAATAACATTACGAATTATTCATTCAAACTTTTATTCATTGCAAATATATTAAAATAGTTTATATAACAGCCATTAAATACCACTTTCAATATATTTATAAATAAAAAGTACATAAAATTTCTGGTGTGTTCAAATTTAAATAATTTTTTATGGGTTCAATTTTAAATCATCCAGACATTTGGTCAAACGGATAGGTGTGTTCAAATTTAAATCATTGGTATTTTGGTCGGTTGAAATTTAAATCATCTACCATGGTACTGTGATGTGTATTATATATATATATATATATATATAATTTTTTAACAAATAATATGTGCTTTATAAAAATAATAATAATAATTTCATAATATTTTAAACATAAATTTTGGTTTTTAATCACAATAGAAAAATCATAGTAAGTTGTATTGAAAGGGTGTTATGAGATAAAACAATTAACTAAAATAACTAAATAAAATACTTGATGGAAATAAAATGCATTAATTATCTTTGACTTTTCTAACTAATTCTAGTAAATAGAATGACTTTTTATATAAGTATAGATGTGCAAGTAAGATTTTTTACACTATTTTGTAAAGAAAACATGTCTGAAAATCATTAAACTTAACATGTGTTACGTATATGTGAGTATATATATATATATATATATATATATATATATGTGTGTGTACATATAGATAGAATATGTAAAAAAATATGTCTGAACATTTTGTTTAAGTATCTAAAATATTATAAAACCTAAATAAAGACATTATCTCACGCTAAAGTTGTTTTAGAGAAGATTTATAAGATACCATAATTATGATGTTACTTCCATATGAATATTTGACTACACAATATTTCTAAAATTACTACCATTTTTTTAAGTTTGTTACCATAAAATGGAATTTGTACGCTTAACAATTTATCAATTTTACAAATACAAATTGAAATTAATGCAAAAGCTATCAATTTTACAAATACAAATCGAGATTATTGCACAACAAAAATTATGTGACAAATAAAAAGAAATTTTATATGTAATTGAGATCAAAGACGAACACTGAAGACTGTTTCTATTAACATTTACAATGTATATTTAATATTTTTTTTGGCAAAATATTCTTTCTAAGTGTGATATATAAATATTAAAAATACTTAAAATATTTTATAACATCTATAAAAGCATCTAAAATATTCTATATTATTCACAAATAATGTTTGAAGCTACCTAAATTTTTCTAAACTACCCGTAAGAAAAACATGTCTAAAAGTTCTTCATTTAACCTCCATATATGTATATATAGAGAGAGAGCAAATGTGTAAAAAAAAAATTATGCAAATAATATTTAAAAATATCTAAAATATTAGTAATTAGACAGGTTAAATTTAGATTTTTAAAAAATCTAAATAGATAATGGATTTTAATTGTAGTAATTGGAATTTTATTTATTTATCTTTAAAGTTGTTACGATAGATGATTTTTTTTTTATTTTTTTTTGACTCGTTGACATGAAATTTTGTAAGATGGGTTATGAAATTTTCTTAAACTCGTCCATATTTATGCAATGAGTTTTTTGAGCTGGGTATATAGATTTAAAATTGTAAAAAAAAAACTTTCATAGTCATTTGATTTGGTATTTTCGGAGAGCTTCATTAATTTAAAAGTTAAGTACAACTGAAAAAGTTACAACCAATTGTATGGAGAATTAAACTAAATTCAATTTTGTAGGACGCATTAAATATTGATTAGATTTTATATGTAAAATAAAATAAAAAATAACTGAAATAGTTTTAAGTGTTGTTGTAACACCCCGCCTGAACTTACTAAAATCAGAGTAAATTTTTCGCGCTATAAAAGGGAAAACTCTGTTTTAATTTTCGAAAACTCATATTAATTTTTCGAAAATACTTTAACTTTAATATGCGGGA